AAGTCTGTGACCTTTTAATTGTGGAATGGTTTAATCCCATTCCTTTGTTCCCAAGTAACAATATCAATCTGGGGAGGTACAACATAAATTACCTTCAATGACAGCAATAGGATGACTCTGTGGAAACAAGTTTGAATGGTTTCATGCTGCAAACGGTATTTTGTTTTCAACATATTTTGTTCAAGTCACGGAAAAGTTCAGGAATTAAAAAATCTCAAAGATAACCATTTAACTTCAAGGTGCTTGTTTCTGACAGTATTTATGCTTGGAGTCTGAAACTGTTGGCTTCATTCCGTCCACCAAGCTCGACAATCCCAAATGAAGACTTGAGCTTCAGAATCAAAGAATCCCTACAGTGTAGAAGTAGGCTGTTTGGCTCATTGGGTCCACACCACCCGTCCAAAGAACAAGCCACCCACAATGGGTGGAGCTCCAACAGCATTTAAGAAACTTGATAAAGACTGCTTGAATGGCACCCCATCAACCACCTTCAACATTCACTACCTTCACCACCAATTTTCTGTGGATTTGAGAAGTCCAAGCTCCTCAGTGTACACATGTAATAGATTTCCACACCCCGCACCACCCCCCCTTCACCCCTCCCCATTTCAGATAGGGATTCGAGAGTTCTGCTCCTTAGAGATTCTGATTACACTTCAGCCCCATGGTCCTGATCTTTGGCCAGATATAGCAGAGGACAATTTACATGACTATATTTAAAGCATTATTTCCATTTTGGAGACTGAATTTTGACGTGGTTTCCCTTTCTAAGTGGAATTTTAACTGTAAGAAAAATACAGTCCCACTCATATTGCCAGTATGACTGAGGAGTCTGAAGTCTCCATCAGCTGCTTGGACTGTAACCTACAAAATCCAGTTGTTTACAGCACAAACAACTGATTGGAGACAAAACAGGTGGACACAAAAAGAGATTGAAAAGCAAATTGCAAGAGGGATACAAACAGTTTGCAGAGATGTATTGCTGGTTAAGAATGTGGGCAAAAAAATTTGACAAATGAGTTTAATGTGGTAAAATGTGAAGTTTTCAACTTGGAGGGGAAACAAAAGACCAGAAAAACGGAAACACAAAGGGACTTGGGGATACTTGTGCCTGAAACATTGAAAGCCAGCGCACTGGTACAGCAGGCAATCAGGAAAGTTCATTGAATGTTGCACCTTATTTCAAGGAGGTTAGAGTATCGGAGTAGAGAAATCTTACTTCAACTGTACAGGATGCTGTTGAGACCACATCCGGAATACTGAGAGCAGTTGTGGCCTCCTTATTTAAAGAAAATATATTTCATTGGACCCATTTCAGGGAAGGTTTATTAGGATGATCCTCAGAATGAGAGCCTGCTTTATAAGCAAAAGTTAAATAAGGTGGAACTTATTGGAATTTAGAAAATGAAAGGTCATCTCATTAAAATGTACAGGATTCTTAAGTGGCTTGACAGAGTAAATGCTGAATGTTTCCCCTCATGAGACAGTCTAGGATGGGAGGACATCGTCTCAGAATTAAAGGCGCCCGAATTTACTTTATTGGAGGGTTGAGTGTCTTTGG